TCGATACTTTTAAAAATGTACCGATCTTAATTTTTTACTTAAAATACTTTTTTTTTAATTTCCGCTACGTAGTTTTGGGTCTTAGCAGGCCGAGAAGTTCTTGAGCGGGGATCGCGAATCGGGAGATATCGCGTGGGTAGGTCTCCCACAAGGTAGACCGATGACTTATTGAGGTTCGCGGGGATGTGCTGTAAGCAGGCAGCGTAGGACCGGTCGTTGTGGCGATGCTTGGGGAGATATATCGTCTTTTCGCATTAAAAGTGTACAATTTCCAAAGATATTCGAAATTGAGTTAATATGCGGAATCATTTGGTATCTATCACAAGTATTTTTTTTCATAAATACTATCAAAAGAGCGAAGTTTAGTATTAGTTTTTTTTTTTTTAGTTTATCTATATTTTGACTACTATTAATAAAATTAATACATTATTTTATCTTACTTTAAAAGACAGATAATGTAACCGGTAAAAAATAAAAATAAATGTTGCAAATATTATGATTAATATTAAAAATTACATGTTAAACCTTTAAAACACTCTCCTGTAAAATTAGTAAGTTTTGAGATTATACATTTTTAATGCGAGAAGACGATATATCCAGCGGTGAAGTCTGTGGGCTTAAAGATGAAAAAATGTTCCGTCACCATTTTCAGAAATTCCGTAGAAAAATGTCACCATGATACTACAGGGCCGTATTTCTAATTTAATTTAAAATTATTATAAGCTTTTTTTTTTGCTTAGATGGGTGGATGAACTTACAGCCCACCTGGCGTTAAGTGGTTACTGGAGCCCATAGACATCTACAACGTAAATGCGCCGCCCACCTTGAGATATAAGTTCTAAGGTCTCAGTATAGTTACAACGGCTGTTCCTTCCTTCAAACCGCATTATTGCTTCACGGTTGAAACAGGCAGGGCGGTGGTACCTACCCGTGTGAACTCACAAGAGATCCTACAATTATGTTCTATTGAGGCTAATTATGTTCTATTTGAAATATTACATCGACGACGCAAGCGAGCGCAGCGTTGGGCGTCCCTCCTCCCGGTGGACCGATGACTTGAGGCGATATGCTAGAGAAGATTGGATGCGGAAGGCGGAAAATCGCTCATTGTGGCGGACTATGAGAAACGCCTACATCCAGCAATAGAGAAATATAGACTGATGATGATGCAACTGATACAAGCAGCGGACGGCTTTGCTTGATAAATTAAATAGGACCCTCCAGTGTTTTGAATCTATACTAATATATAAATCTCCAGTTATTTTTACGGATGTTCCGTTATAACTACTGAACCATGCATCCGATTGACTTGAAACTTGGTATCCATGTAGAAAATACATGTACGTAATGGATAGGCTAATATTTATATGAGTGTTGGACTCCCTAATAATAATGACAATCTATACTAATGTTAACTTTAAATGCCAGCGAAGCGAGCGAGTACGGCTAGTATTTTATATCTTTATACTAAAAACAAGCAGAATACTGAAGTCGTTCTTAATAAAATCCGTAATAAGTTACGTTTGGAATTTTGCGTAACGATAAGCTCTTGTAAAAAGACGAAGCTGTAAATTTGACTAATGATACAATATGTCTACGTTATTTATATTGAACTAGCTGACCCGGCAGACTTCTTAGTGCCTCAATCGATCAATAAAATATCTAAACTTTTGTATAAAATAAACTTAAAACAAATAAAAGGAATCCGTCCGACGGAAGACACATCAAAGGTAAAAGAAAATTGTTATATTTATTTAATTCCGAGCATTTTCATATTTATCTATCTTTTAAACTTTTTCTGGACTTCCACAAATAATTCAAGACCAAAATTAGCCAAATCGGTTTAGCCGTTCTCAACTTTTAGCGAGACTAACGACCAGCAATTCATTTATATATATATGTAGATATATAGATAGATTATGTTTCATTAGGCATTTTTATATCCATTCAAGGGAGATGTCACAGAACTGTGCGCAAGAGGATTACAGAGTGGTTAAAAGTATTAACTCCGTTTTCTGAGCTACGTTTGATTCCAGAGTCAGACTCGAATGCACTCCTAACCGCCCAGGACTCTAAAACGCGAAACTAAGTTGAAATGAAAATGGAGTTAAACTTAAAATTTTATGTTCCCTTTAGCTTTAAGCCCATAGATACTTCCGGGGTCTTATTATGGATTCTCATCGTTTCTTTTAAATACTGTTCAATAGTTAAATATATATAAGAATATGTTTTTGAAAAGGTTTCATTAAAAAATTAACTACTAATATAAATTAAAAATGTATTTAGGTTATTAATTTCTCGTTTTCAGAACAGCGGTTCTCTGAGTGCATCCCCCGATCTCTACGTAATTAAATTACACAGTCGTGTGAAGCTGAACTTGCCCTGTAACGGCATTTGAGTCTCATCGCAATAACAGTCGTATAGCGGGGTAGTTAGATCACATTTTCGCCTGTACACGTTGCTTGGAAACTTTGTTGGTAGAAATTCGTGAAGCTATATCATATTTTGGGGCCTAAGTCGAGTTTACGAAGTTTTTAATGTATGATATATTTAATTGCTCGCTGAGTTTCTCGCCGGATCTTCTCAGCGGGTCGCGATTCTGATCCGGTAGTAGATTCATTCGCGAAGCAGCTGCCCTTGAGTTGTTTGTCTCCTTCGAAGACGCTCGGGTGGCTGTTAGTAAGTCCCACCCCTCCTGGCTGAGCCTTTGCTCGCCCACCTGTCCTAGTAAATCTGGAAAGGCCTCCGGGCCACCAGTAATCCTTCAGTCCTAAAAAAAATATATTTATTTTCATAGCCTCTGCGTAATTTTAGTACTGGATAATCTAAAAAAAAACTTACTATAATATTTTTGAGACGATGCTCCTTACCGCTGCTTGCCACAGAGATTGGGTGATGGAAGTTCTTACGCGATGATAATACATTATTCCCCTGGCTATTGATTTAAGCTTAAACGATTTACACAAAACTGAACTTTAATTAAGCATTTGCAAAAGTGAAACTCCGATGCGCTGTTTACAGAATCTAATAAAAAACTCAGATTAGTATTCAGTACTTGTAAAATTAAAAATCCATTCTTTCCAGACAATGATGAAGTCTTACGAGTATATTCATAGGTACTTTTTTTTTACTAATGTAACCTCTTCCAACACTAACTCCTGATCATATAAGAATTATAGCAGCCTGCGCGTTATAATGTTTTGAGCATTGAGGTTCATACCGGCGAACTAAAATTTCGCTAATGTCTCTTTAACCCTGTAACGAACTCAATCTCAATACATTAGAGAGGCTACATACAATTGTAGATAGCGAGCCCCTGAAAGCTTCAGAAAATTAAGGTCTAAAATGAGCTTTAGCTAACAACAGAAATGGAGTCAGTAAAAGCTCAGTCAGTACGGATCGTGAACACAGAGTAGGTCCCACGTGGTAATACTACACGTTACACATTTTGTTTTTTTTTTTCAAATAAAAATTAAATTTATTTATTCAATTATAAAAAAAAAAGAACACAATATTCCTAACCTAAAAGTACATGTTATTATCCGCAACACGCTACGTCAGATTACAGAAATAAAGTTATCAGCAACATGCTTCGTCAAAAAGTACAATACTCACTTTCAGCTGCAAGCGTCGTTACACATGAGACAGCCGCGACAAACTGTTTGCCCACCTCACAAATCTATACTAATTATATATTTAATGGTGGTAGGACCTCTTGTGAGCCCGCGCGGGTAGGTACCACCACCCCGCCTGTTTCTGCCGTGAAGCAGTAATGCGTTTCGGTTTGAAGGTTGGGGCATCCGTTATAACTATACTGAGACCTTAGAACTTGTATCTCAAGGTGGTGGCGCGTTTACGTTGTAGATGTCTATGGGCTCCAGTAACCACTTAACACCAGGTGGGCTGTGAGCTCGTCCACCCATCTAAGCGATAAAAAATATATATATCTATACTAATATTATAAAGCTCAAGAGTTTGTTTGTTTTGTTGGCGCGCTATTCTCAGGAACTACTGGTCCGATTTGAAAAATTCAGTGTTAGATAGCCCATTCATTGAGGAAGGCTATAAGCTATTTAAGATCAATACAACGAACCAATAATAAAGAATGTTTCAAAATCTTTTTTTTTCCCTTTTGAGAGTTTCCGCTGAAGGCGATGCGGAAACGGTTAGAGTTTCGCTAAAATAATGTATGACAGAATCTTTCCCTTTCAAAGTTGTAAAAAAAAGTCCGTAACAGCATATTTTTATTTCTATATTTTAAGGTTGGCTCACTACAACCTCTTTCATACTAACCAAATTTGTTCTAAAATAAAGCATTATTTGTTAAGGTGTTTTTATGAAGATGATATTAATCCTTATCCAAATAAATACGTTATTCATTACAAGTAATTAATTTAAAAGAAATTTGCCCTTTCCATCGTTTGATTTCAGTGAGTGTCTTAGAAGATATAACAGTTTTAAAATAACATCGCAGCAAAATAATGATCAAGCGTGTAATAATGATGTACAGGGCGCCGGCCGGCCGGTGCGCGGCAGCACAGAATAAAAATAATAATAAGAAATACCCAAAAACGCCTTCAAGATAGGTTTTGAAAATTGTGGATTTTTCTCGATTTCTCCAAAATCCTATCATCAGATCCTGAGTCTGATGATTGCAGGATCATTTGGGAAGTCTACCCTTTCGAAAAAAAAAGAGAAAAGAATGATCAGAATCGGTTCAGGCATTTTCGAGAAATCGATAAACATACATATATAAAAAAAATAGAGGTCGAATTGATAACCTCCTCTTTTGAAGCGTGATTTTGGTACCTTAAATAGCTCCTGAACATTCTATTATTCAAAAACATTTACACCTTCTAAGCCAGGTAAATGAAATCGCGGGTAAAATTTAGCGTTATGCCAAAGTAACTATTCCACGCGGACGGAGTCGCGGGCAAAAGCTAGTACCCTATAAATTAACTTTAACATATAATTAATGGATTTATTTCTTTTTTCGGCAGGTTTGCCCAACGATCTTTCCGTCTCCTGGCATCAATACCCGTACAGTCTTGGCATTGTGTTCTGTAAGCTTCGTGCCCTCATATCTGAAGCGTAAGTACATAATATGCATATTTGATTTTATATTTTTAATAAATCTGGTATGACTGTAAACAATTATCGCAGATTTTAAAGAAAAATAATAATAAGAATCTTTGTTATCAATCTAATAACAGCAGCCGCATTTATTACATTTTTTTCTTAACCTTTTTTTTCTTGTTTGAGCACCGCTCAAAGTAACTCTTTTCCCGGTTACTCGTAGTTGGAGAACCCATCAACCGGGTTGAGTATATTTTCGTAGAGAATCGTAATTACAAAAATTATGTTAGCTTTATTAAAAACTAGCGGCACGCTCCGGCTCCGCTCGGGTCTTTAACCAAATTTTCAACGGTATTTGACGTTGTCTTTTTTTTTTAAATATAAGAACACTTATTGCGGCATAACTATAACAGTTAGACAAATACTGTTGCGACACTTTTTGTAAATAATAATGTGTTCTACAAAGCCGTAGTACATTATTTTATTCTATCATCAATAGTTTTCGCAGGGCACGCGATGTAAAGAATATTTTAGGTAATTTTTTGACACTTTAGGTTACATTATTGGAGCTTTCGTAAGGATCTCTAATTTTTTTCAAAAAGGATTATAGCCTATGNACCTTATTGCGGATCTGTGCATAGAATAAAAAAAATAAAAATCGGGATGGAAAAATAGGGGTTGATCGTATAAGAGTGAAAATTGAGAGTAATATATATTTTTTTTATTTTAAGTCATGACAAAATAAAAAATAAAATCTTGCCAAAAAATTTAAAATTTATAATTAACAAATAAAAAATAGGGGTTGATCGTAGAGGGTGAAAATTTCAGAGTAATATGAATTTTTTTATTCTAAGTCATAACAAAATAAAAACAAAATTCTTGCAAAAAAATTTAGTTTTTAATTAACAAATAAAAAATAAGGGTTGATCGTAGAGGAGGGAAAATTTAGGGTTGTATGTATTTTTGTATGCTGTATCATAAAAAAATAAAAACAAAAATTTTTGTCTAAATAATAAAAAAAAAAATTTAGGGGTGGACTACCCCTAACATTTAGGGGGATGAAAAATAGATGTTGGCCGATTCTCATAGATACCGGATAAGCACAAAAAATTTCATCAAAATCGGTCAAGCCGTTTCGGAGGAGTATGGCAACGAAAACTGTGACACGAGAATTTTATATATTAGATAAACTTAAAACAAATAAAAGGAATCCGTCCGACGGAGGACACATCAAAGGGAAAACAAAATTGTTATTTTTATTTAATTCCGAGCATTTCCATATTTATCTACCTTTTAAACCTTCTCTGGACTTCCACAAATAATTCAAGACCAAAATTAGCCAAATCGTTCTAGCCGCTCTCAAGTTTTAGCGAGACTAACGAACAGCAATTCATTTTTATATATATATGTAGATATATAGATATATTATGTTTCATTAGGCATTTTTATATCCATTCAAGGGAGATGTCACAGAACTGTGCGCAAGAGGATTACAGAGTGGTTAAAAGTATTAACTCCGTTTTCTGAGCTACGTTTGATTCCAGAGTCAGACTCGAATGCACTCCTAACCGCCCAGGACTCTAAAACGCGAAACTAAGTTGAAATGAAAATGGAGGAAAACTTAAAATTTTATGTTCCCTTTAGCTTTAAGCTCATAGATACTTCCGGGGTCTTATTATGGATTCTCATCGTTTCTTTTAAATACTGTTCAATAGTTAAATATATATAAGAATATGTTTTTGAAAAGGTTTCATTAAAAAAATAACAACTAATATAGATTAAAAATGTATTTAGGTTATTAATTTCTCGTTTTCAGAACAGCGGTTCTCTGAGTGCATCCCCCGATCTCTACGTAATTAAATTACACAGTCGTGTAAAGCTGAACTTGCCCTGTAACGGCATTTGAGTCTCATCGCAATAACAGTCGTATAGCGGGGTAGTTAGATCACATTTTCGCCTGTACACGTTGCTTGGAAACTTTGTTGGTAGAAATTCGTGAAGCTATATCATATTTTGGGGCCTAAGTCGAGTTTACGAAGTTTTTAATGTATGATATATTTAATTGCTCGCTGAGTTTCTCGCCGGATCTTCTCAGCGGGTCGCGATTCTGATCCGGTAGTAGATTCATTCGCGAAGCAGCTGCTCTTGAGTTGTTTGTCTCCTTCGAAGGCGCTCGGGCGGCTGTTAGTAAGTCCCACCCCTCCTGGCTGAGCCTTTGCTCGCCCACCTGTCCTAGTAAATCTGGAAAGGCCTCCGGGCCACCAGTGATCCTTCAGTCCTAAAAAAAATATATTTAATTTCATAGCCTCTGCGTAATTTTAGTACTGGATAATCTAAAAAAAAACTTACTATAATATTTTTGAGACGATGCTCCTTACCGCTGCTTGCCACAGAGATTGGGTGATGGAAGTTCTTACGCGATGATAATACATTATTCCCCTGGCTATTGATTTAAGCTTAAACGATTTACACAAATCTGAACTTTAATTAAGCATTTGCAAAAGTGAAACTCCGATGCGCTGTTTACAGAATCTAATAAAAAACTCAGATTAGTATTCAGTACTTGTAAAATTAAAAATCCATTCTTTCCAGACAATGATGAAATATTACGAGTATATTCATGGGTACTTTTTTTTACTAATGTAACCTCTTTCAACACTCTCTAACTCCTCATCATATAAGAATTATAGCAGCCTGCGCGCTATAATGTTTTGAGCATTGAGGTTCATACCGGCGAACTAATATTTCGCTAATGTCTCTTTAACCCTGTAACGAACTTAATCTCAATACATTAGAGAGGCTACAATTGTAGATAGCCAGCCCCTAAAAGCTTCAGAAAATTAAGGCCCAAAATGAGCTTTAGCTAACAACAGAAATGGAGTCAGTAAAAGCTCAGTCGGTACGGATCGTGAACACAGAGTAGGTCCCACGTGGTAATAATACACGTTACAATTTTTTTTTTTTTCAAATAAAAATTAAATTTATTTATTCAATTATAAACAAAAAAAAGAACACAATATTCCTAACCTAAAAGTACATGTTATTATCCGCAACACGCTACGTCAGATTACAGAAATAAAGTTATCAGCAACATCATCATCATCATCATCATCATCAACAGCCCACAGTCGTCCACTGCTGGACATAGGCCTCTCCCAATCCAATCAGCAACATGCTTCGTCAAAAAGTACAATACTTACTTTCAGCTGCAAGCGTCGTTACACATGAGATAGCCGCGACAAACCGTTTGCGCACCTCACAAATCTATACTAATTATCTATTTACTGGTGGTAGGACCTCTTGTGAGCCCGTGCGGGTAGGTACCACCACCCCGCCTGTTTCTGCCGTGAAGCAATAATGCGTTTCGGTTTGAAGGGTGGGGCATCCGTTATAACTATACTGAGACCTTAGAACTTATATCTCAAGGTGGGTAGCGCGTTTACGTTGTAGATGTCTATGGGCTCCAGTAACCACTTAACACCAGGTGGGCTGTGAGCTCGTCCACCCATCTAAGCAATAAAAAAAAAAAAAAAAACTATTCCACGCCGACGAAGTACCCTATAAGCTAACTTTAATATATAATTAATGGATTTGTTTCTTTTTTCGACAGGTTTGCCCAACGATCTTTCCGTCTCCTGGCATCAATACCCGTACAGTCTTGGCATTGTGTTCTGTAAGCTTCGTGCCCTCATATCTGAAGCGTAAGTACATAATATGTATATTTGATTTTATATTTTTAATAAATCTGGTACGACTGTAAAAAATTATCGCAGATTTTAAAGAAAAATAATAATAAGAATCTTTGTTATCAATCTAATAACGGCATCCGCATTTATTATATTTTTTTCTTAACCTTTTTTTTCTTGTTTGAGCACCGCTCAAAGTAACTCTTTTCCCGGTTACTCGTAGTTGGAGAACCCATCAACCGGGTTGAGTATATTTTCGTAGAGAAATCGTAATTACAAAAATGATGTTAGCTTTATTAAAAACTAACGGCACGCTCCGGCTCCGCACGGGTCTTTAACAAAAATTTCAACGGTATTTGACGTTGTTTTATTTGTTTAAATATAAGAACACTTATTGCGGCATAACTATAATAGTTAGACATATTATTATGCTGTTGCGACACTTTTTGTAAATAATAATGTGTTCTACAAAGTCATAGTACATTATTTTATTCAATCATCAATAGTTTTCGCAGGGCACGCGATATAAAGAATATTTTATGTAATTTTTTGATACTTTAGGTTAAATTATTGGAGCTTTCGTCAGGATCTCTAATTTTTTTCAAAAAGGATTGTAGCCTATGCCACTCGGGAATAGTGTAGCTTCAAAACAGTGAAATAAATTTTCAAATCGATTCAGTAGTTTCGGAGCCTATTCAGTACAAACAAACAAACAAATATTTCCTCTTTATAATATTAGTATAGATTAAAAAATTAATATCAAGGCCTCAGAATAAATTACTTACTTAGATATTAACTAACCTAATCATTTAGAACGTTTCCGTAAGTTCGCTAAGTTCTAAATTGTGAAGCGCTGTTTGTTTGATGACGATATTGTACCAGATGTTTTCAGGTCCAATAGCCCACTAAGTGGCCGGATCTTCTCAGTGGGTCGCGTTTCCGATCCGGTGGTAGATTCTGCGAAGCACTGCCTTGCTATGGCTAGTGTTAGCAGCGCCCCCAGGTTTGAGCCCCGAGAGTTCACCTACTTGCTAGGTTACGCTGGCATAGCCTCTCAAGACTACCAGCTTAGGTAGGGAAAAAAAAGGGTCCATCAAGTCCACCACTAAGTCCGTCATAGCAAGTATACGTAAATACCTAGATGACGAATACACAGATTTTGTACTTCGACTACAATCAGTATAAGTAGAAAAAGATGTAGTTACGTCGAAATAAAATACTGGTGGTAGGACCTCTTGTGAGTCTGCACGTCTAGGTACCACCGCCCTGCCTATTTCAGCCGTGAAGCAGTCATGCGTTTCGCTTAAGGGGCGGGGCAGCCGTTGCAAC